ATGACAGTTACACAGAAAATGAGAAATTCACTTATGACACATCCAGAACATGGTTGAAATTCTCTTTCTCCACGGGTCCCTGCACAACACCAAGGGTGAAGACGCAGTCACTCAGCACTCCTCCAGCCTTGTGTTCGTTCTGTCTTCTTCTCCAAAAGCACCTGGGGTCCATGAAACTGCCCAAGATGAGGGGAATGTTCAGGAGGAAGAGGAAGATCAAAATGAGCATCTGTGTCATGCTGGCCAAGCTCTAAGCCTGGGCAGTGGTGGACCATGAGGTGCTGTGTAGAAAAACACATCAAATGGGCACCTATGTATACATGTCTGCTGTTATTACTGTTGCCCACTAGAGAGGACACTGACACATGCCCCTTCATTCCTTTCTGTCCAGGGGGTCCCATTCCCTGGAGGAATCAAAGACACACTCTGCCCTGAGGCTCTGTACCTAAGGTCTTCAGTTCAGGTGATAAACATGGCTTGCAAAATATTGTTCAAAGATATCTCCAGTCTCAGGTGTTGTTGTGCCATTCAGAACAGGCATTAAGGCTCCTGGGAAGAACCTATGTGTAGTAGATTTGACCCAAGGCCAGTGTCAACAAGCTGTTTGTAAGGACGCCATTTGAAATTATGTAAGTGGACTGTATTAGAGCCAAAGTGAGGTGTAACGTTAAGTGAAGGATCAGGAAGGACCTGCACCAGTCAGAGGTCATGTGGACACACTGGGCAGTCTATCCCCAAAGTCCAGGTTAGGGAGAGGCAGCCTCACATGTCCAGCATTCAGCTATCCACAGAGCATTTCACTGCATGGTCCACGCACTAGTACATACCAGTCACATACACAGAATACCCAACCAATGATCATACTTCTCATTGGGTAGAGAACAATTGCAATAGCCTTGAAAACTCCAGAGATTCCCCAAATCACGATGAATCCAGAAATACCCAATCAGTCTCTCGATATCAATATAGAAACTAAGCTGAATATGTGAATTCTAAAACATGACCTGCTTCCCTGTGCTGGTGGTTAATCTCTATCAACTTGACACAAGCTAGAATTGCCTGGGAGGAAGAAATCTCAGTTTAGGAATTTCCTCCATCAGATTTTCCTGTGGCTGTATCTGTGCGACATTTCTTGATCGCTAGTTGATATAGGAGGGCCCAGCCTACTGTGGACAGTGTTATCCCCGGGCAGGTGGGTCTGGGCAGTATAAAAAAGGTATCTGAGCAAGCCAGGGGCAACAAGTGTGTAAGCAGAATTCCTCTGTGGTCTCTACTTCAGCTTCTGTCTTGGCTTCCCGCGATAATCAACTGTAACTTGAAAGATAAAATAAGCCCTTTCTTCCCCAAGTTGGTTTTGTTCAGTGTTTTCTCACCACAACAGAAATCACACTGGAACACCCCCTGATCCTCACTTCCCATGGACCAAAACCGTGTGATGATCCCTTTCTTCACCTGTGTCATTGAGTTCCTCCACCGCTTGTTTTCCTTAGAAGCCAATAGCAGCCAGATTTGCTCTGGATTTAATATGTAAACCGTTCTTGCTCTATTTCCCACTAAGGCATTCTTTGTTTCATTCTAGAATATGTGTCTCCAGAAGAAGAGTATACTGTACAGGGAGTGTGGATTGAGGAGTCCGTGCTGGTGTGGACTGCAAAGACTGTGGCAGAAATGCAGGGCAGCTCTGTGGCGTGCGTGAACCCAACATTTAACGTTGGCATAACTTCCAGTTCTGTGGCAAACAGTCCTGGAGAGCGGTAAGAAGTGCATATGGAGGTCCTTGATGGGTTGTTGACCAACGGGAAAAAAAATCTTCTTTCAAGACATCCAATAAAAACTCCAGTGCACAGGGTTGGGTTTTAGTGTTTCATTTTTAATCATTTTTTTTCTTTTCAGTTCATATTTGAAACGATGAGTTTTATTATGGCATTAGCATGCATGGATAACATTGTACCCTGCTCACAGTTGCTGTTCCCTTACCCTCCCGTGTCGGTCACCATTTTACTGTGGATTCCCTTCCTCACTCTAAGTAGCCAAGTCCTGACTTCATGTGACATGTATGTACACTCCACATTTGAGTGAAAATATGACATTGGCTTCTGTTCCTTTCCTCCTATTATCATCACAGCCCCCCCACTACCTTTAGACCTATTACTCCCCTCACATGGCCTTCTTCTGTTTCCTTGTATACATGTGTACACACACACACATATATACACACATACACACTCACATGCATTGTTAAAATTAGATGTACAAATACAGACAGGACATTTGTTTCCTAAGTCTGACTTGTATAGCCTATGATGATCCCCTGTTTTACCCCCATCCCTGCAAATGGTACAGTTTAGTTCTCCCAACTGAGCAAAACTCCACTGTGTGTGTGTGTATGCGTGTGTACATATATGTAACTGTTCACTTTTTTTGTTAGATGTACCTTTTTGGATAATTTATTTCATATTCATGCAGGCATATAATGTATTTGGAGCCAGTCCACATCCCATTCCCTTCCCTCCAATTCCTCACCTTCTTCTCTCCCGAGTTTTACCTCCCAAATCCACGTTTTCTCTCTTTTTAAATTTAATGCCTACAGAATGTATTTGGTACTGCTTTTTTTTTGAAGCAGGGTCTCCCTGTAGCCCCAGCTGTCCTGGAACTCACTATGTAGACCAGGCCAGCCTTGAACTCACAGAGATCTGCCTGCCTGTGCCTCCCAAGTGCTGGGACTACAGGCGTGCGCCACCATGCCAGGCTTGGTACTGCTTTTATGTGCACAAGTGTGAGACCATCTTCAGGAGCATGGGTAGCCTCTAAGGGACCTTTAGTTAAATTCCAATATATCTTAGAAGGCTTGAACCAACTATATGTTTAATTTTACCACTACTATCATTTATGATTTATGTAGAAGCCGTTTAAGTTATAAAATTGTTGTGCCTGATTTAGTTAAAAATCTCTGTGTACATCTTTAAGTAAGACAACTTGTTGAATGAAACCTTTAAAATTCTAAGAATGGGGGCTGGAGAGATGGCTCAGTGGTTAGGAGCACTTGCTATTCTTCCAGAGGACCTGGGTTCAATTCCCAGCACCCACATGGTGACTCACAGCCATCCATAATTCCAGTCCAGGGGATCCAATGCCATCTTTTGGCCATGGCAGGCTGTGGTGATAACATGCAGGCAGAGCACTCAAACATAATATTTATAATTAAAATATTAATG